CAAAGTCTCCATTCTCGTTGTTTCAGGTGAAAATTCTGCAGATAAGGATGACGAATGAATATGAAAATTATTAAGTAATGGCTTTTTCTTCGTGCGAATACAAATTTGTTCCAGATATGTTTCCTTTTATCAAATCCTTCTATCTTCTCCTTGAATTAAGAGTAGCACGATTTCATTTGAACTAGGAGGCCCGTTGACCATATATGGACCTTATTCAAGTTTGACAATTCCTTAAATGTAACCTGGACATGCCAGGGAATCATAAAATAATTGATTTTAGAGGTGTATGAAGTTGATAGTAGGACACCAGCGCAGCGCGCAGTTAGAATAACGTTTTCAACATTTTTAGCGGAATGTCAAGAAATGCCATTTTTTCAACACAATTTAACCACGTTATGAATTATCCAGACATTAGAGTTATTATAACGAGCGTTCAAATAAAAACGTGGTCAAAGTTGGCTCTGACACATTGGACGTAGGGAGTAGCTTATAGCGACCAACTTAACCTCATTTCTCAACGAGCTCTATAGCAGCTGTCAGTTTCTGCCTATATAACTTTATTTTAAAGAATAATCGTGATAACAATAACAAACAATTAAAGGAGCTGCGGAAAGTGTCCCCCTCCTTGTTATAACAATAAATTAAAGCAGCTGCTGAAAGTGTCCCCCTCCTTGTTCCAAGCACTTTTCACACCTGTTCCTCAAAGAATTAAAGATATTTTCTTAGATGCTCGGGGTATTGTTAATTTCACGAATCTTGTCTATAAGTCGAGCCTGCAGATGGTTTAAATCAGGAATAGGCAGTTCAAAAATAGTGTTTTTAAGGTAAGGCCACAAAAAGAAACATGACCACCTCGGTGGAAATTTATGTTCAGCATTGAGACTTTGGAAAACTTCCCTCAACATATTCATCGTCTCGCCTGCCGTATGTGCCCCTGCGCCATCTTGTTGAAAGTAAAAGTTTGTAATTTCGTTTTCTTCCAGCTGGTTAACAAAAGGAGCGATAATTTCTTCTCTATACCTTTGCGCAGTAAGAGTATCATTAAAAAAAATAGGTCCATAAATCCTCCTTCGATTGAGAGCACACCAAACTCCAATTTTTTGAGCGTGTAGAGGGCCCTCGACAAAAAAGTTATCTGGTTTTTCAGAAGACCACATTCTCATATTCTGTGAGTTTACGTAACCACTTAAATGAAACCAGGCTTCATCAGAAAAAAAGGTGATATTATGAAGTTCACCGTAGTTGTTTAAAAACCATTCACAAAATACAGCCCGTCGCGGAAAATCAACTTCATGAAGTTCTTGCTGACAAGTTAAACGATAGGAGAACAAACGCAAATCTTTTTTTAACACTGTGTGGTAGGTACCGACTGATACTCCCACCATTTGTGATAAAACACGTACAGAAGTTTTTGGCGCATTTTCCATTATTTGTTGGACATTTTCTTTTAATTCTTTAGTCCGCTTTTTAGGTCGGCCGCTTCCTTCTTTTCTTGTTACACTGCCCGTTTCACGAAAAACATTAACACAACGCTGAACTGCACTTTGAAAAATTTTGTACTCAACAACGCCGGGAAATTGATTTTGAAATTCTATGAAACATGCCTCAATAGAATACTTCCATGTTCCATCAGTCTTGCGTCCATTTCTAAAGTAGGACTCTATGATAAACGCATTTTGTTTTTGAGAAAACACCATTTTGAACGCTTTTTAAAACGAAAATATTCAAATTGCTAGCGGCGATATAGCGCTTTGACAGACGTTTAAGTTCATTTGCTATACGCTACGCCCTACGTCCAAATTTTCAGAACCAACTTGACCACGTTTTTATTTGAACGCTCGTTATATATTTGTAAGAAATTTTATCTACGTTAATTTGGTATATCATAGTTATAGTCAAAAACCACTTAGTTTTCGAGTTATAAGTTAAAAAACTGAAAATGTGCCGAAAATTTGAGGTTTTTCGCAATTTTCCTTGTGAAACCGACGCCTACCAAGGTGGAAAACCTCAGACTCGGATTCAGCAGCCCAAAAAACATATATAACCGGTGAGAAAAAAATATCTACATTTTTTCCTGGGAACGCCGTTACTGAACCTTGGATGACTAAACCATTATACAAACCACAATGTAAAGGCAGTGCAGTACCTATATATACAAACATTTTGAGCTATCTAGACAGTATTTTAAGGAATATCAACAAGGGTTAATAGCTAAATAAAGCTGGATATGGCGCAGAGAGTTTTCTTTATCACAATAATTGTACCCTTCCAATTTATTATATTCCTGTTATCTGTACATATGTACAATTAACTGGTAACAGTCAACAAATAAGTTTATTCTTATGACATTTGTGATGGCATATGTAAAAGTAATAAGACCTAACTATTTTATAACAAAAAAAAATATATACTTAATCATAGTCAACGACTAGTTAACAATTATGTTTAAAAATCTAATTTTAATATTCCATGCAATTTGATACATTGTACAGGGTGGTTGATTTTCGATAGTTTTATAGGGTACAGCCAAAACGGTGATAGATACAAAAAATCTGATATCGATGTCCCGTCCTCTTTTTTTGAGTTTACTTCGCTGGTCCCAAAAGATCTTGGCTAACTTGATTAGTTTTAGATATACAGGGTTTTTTTGAAAAATGGCCCATTTACATTAACCTCTCTATCTCCGTTGTCATTCAATTTACAAGAAAAAAGTGTGCACATTATTTGTTCCATTTTTTATTAGGAAGCCATTGGCGTACTCAGATTTTTTACAAATCGCACAGTTTCTCCGATATTGCATAAACATAGGTTTTTTTAAATAGAACACCCTGTATTTGGCCATCCCGTTGAATAGCATTTTTTTTTACCTTTTCAGCTATATATAATAATAGATACTTTTTATTTGCCTAAATGAAGAAAAATGCAAAAATGTATAGATATAGATATTTTTTCAGTTGGCCATGTTATTTATTGTTATATTTAGTATTGGTCTCTTCGTTTTCTATTATTATTTTTATGTTAAGCACCTAACTTAGACTAAAAGATTAAAAAAAAAATAAATTAGATTATCCATTTATCTTTACTTAATAGGTTTAATTATAGGTACACTTATAACTATTATCTAAACATAAACTAAACAAAAATAACAACTATAAAATGAGAGAAACAACAATAAAACAAAAATGACATAACAAAGTCACAGCAAGTGCTCGAATTGTCGGCCATTTTCGTTGATACATAACTGACAACGTTTGGCAATGGAACGGGTCGCATTGTAAATGTGAATATTTGACACCCGCTGAATATAGTTTTCAAAATGTTCCCTTAGCTCCTCGACATTATTAGCTCTATACTTATAAATTTTGTCTTTAACATCCCCCCAAAAATAAAAGTCTATAGGGGTTAGGTCTGGTGACCTAGGCGGCCACCTGTTTGGTCCGTACGTACCGATCCAATTGTCCCCGAAATTATGATTTAATAATTCTCTAACTATGTGGGAATTATGTGGAGGCGCACCATCATGCTGAAAGAACATATTATATCGTTGAGCTAGTGACATATCGTCCAGCAGTTCAATAATATTTTCTTGTAAAATTCTCACATATCTCTGAGCGTTAAGGTTTTCATCGTACATTTCGTAAGCTAACACTCTATTGTGGAAGAGAGCTACCCATACATGAAAACCAAATCGCCCTTGTTGAATTCTGGCCACAGTTTGGTGAGGATTAACATCTGACCAATAACGCGCATTATGCCGGTTGAATATACCTTCGCTGCTTATAAAAGCCTCGTCGGTCCAAATAACATTTTGAAAAAAATTGGGGTATACATGAGTTTGCTGCAAAAACCATTGGCAGAAAATGATGCGTCTCTCTTCATCTCCTGGATGCAAATGGTGGACTTTTCTTATAGTATATGGTCGAAACTTGTGTTTTTTTAAAATTCTCAATGCTTTGAATTTACCAATTCCTATCGTTCTTTGAATTTCTCTGCTGGATACGTTGGGATTTGCGACAACAAAAGCTAAAGTATTGATTTCATCATCTTCTCTATTCTGTATATTATAAGATTTAGCTCTCGGTTTTTGAAAAGAACCAAACTCACACAAATTATCATAGAGTCGGCTAAAAATTCTCTTTTCTGGCTGATGACGCTCTGGGTATCTCTCCAAATATAAGTTTAAAGCTGTGTCACTATTTTTTTCACTTTCAATGTAACACTCTAACATTTGAACTTTGTGAAGATTTTCGTACACCATTTTTATACTTTTCAAAATTAAAACCAAGTAATAGACGTTTAACAAGCTTTCAATCAGTCAAAAATAAACTAACTGTCAATATTAAACAACAAAAGACGAATAAATAAATAACATGGCCAACTGAAAAAATATCTATATCTACATTTTTGCATTTTTCTTCATTTAGGCAAATAAAAAGTATCTATTATTATATATGGCTGAAAAGGTAAAAAAAAATGCTACTCAACGGGATGGCCAAATACAGGGTGTTCTATTTAAAAAAACCTATGTTTATGCAATATCGGAGAAACTGTGCGATTTGTAAAAAATCTGAGTACGCCAATGGCTTCCTAATAAAAAATAGAACAAATAATGTGCACACTTTTTTCTTCTAAATTGAATGACAACGGAGATAGAGAGGTTAATGTAAATGGGCCATTTTTCAAAAAAACCCTGTATATCTAAAACTAATCAAGTTAGCCAAGATCTTTTGGGACCAGCGAAGTAAACTCAAAAAAAGAGGACGGGACATCGATATCAGATTTTTTGTATCTATCACCGTTTTGGCTGTACCCTATAAAACTATCGAAAATCAACCACCCTGTACATGTTCCCTATTCTTCTGTAGGCGGTAAATTATTTCCCCCTTGTGTGGTTTTATTAAGAACCGCCTCATTAATCTCAAAAATTAAATTCAGAATAGTAAAAAAAATATCCTTAGCTACCAGTGATATCATTTTCTTATTAATTCGCCATTCAAACCGTTAACTTTACATATTATTTCAGTTTCTGTATCAGACTATGCATCGCATTAAAGTATATATGTCGCTGACCTTCATTTTCACCGTAAGCGGTAAGAAAAATAATTCAAATACATATAGATTTCATTTCAAGAAAATTATTTACCTACACAGTCATCATCATCATATTTTGATTGTAGGGTTTTCTAATGGCGTCTCAAAAGAAACAGTTTAACATCGTTTTGAGGAAATGAGACAAAAAGTTATGATTTTTTAAACACCCTGCATATTTCGTCGAAGTAGACATTTTGGCATTTCGAAACACAGGGACATATCCCTTTCTTCTTGTGATTTCTCTAATCTGGTGAACTTAATAAATTTAATATTAAATCGTCGCTACATGTGATATACAGGGTGTTCCATTTCAGAGGGATTCGTCAATAGCTCTGATAAAAAAGTATTATTGTTTTTTCATTATACCAGTTGCTTTTTACTCAATTTTAAAGGTATTGAACCGATTCAAATAAATTCAAATATTTTTCGAAAAGATCATAGCAAACGAGATCAAACGATATTCTTCGATCGCAGTGCCCTCTATCTTTTAGCTGAGCATTCTAGGGGCTACCACCAGAAGAGACACCTGCCAAAGGACTGCGGCAGGACGAGATTCGACGACGGAAATCCCAGGATAGTAGGGGGCATCCGGGCCTACCTCGGCCAATTTCCTTGGATGGCCAGAATAGGAATAAAGCAGGAGAAGAAGGAGGAGTGGTTCTTCTGCGGAGGATCTCTGATCAACAGGTACTACGTGGTATCGGCCGCACATTGCGAGGAAACGGGAAACATGTGAGCGTAAGTTGCCCTTGGAGATCCTAATATTCCAGCGTTTGATGATTTTCAGTGTGAGACTGGGCGAAAGCGACACCGAAACTCCCATCGACTGTGACGACTTTGGCGATTGCGCCCCGCCACATCAAGATATCGGTATTAAGGCCTACAAGTTTGCCAACTACTGCAGGACGATCAGTGAAAATGATATCATGCTGATTGAATTGGAGGAGCCTGCTAAATTGAACGGTAACTTGGTTATAAATGTCATATTAATGACAGAAATTAATGCCTTTGTCTTTCTTTGTTGGGATTAAACATAGCCATCTTTCCAAATAACTAATTCCCAAAGCTGTGATAGTATATAAGGCTGATTATCTCCTAAGGGTGTCCATCACTTCGAAATCTTTTTTTATCAAAAACCAATAATTACGATTTGTAAAGAATACTTTGCCGAAGTCAAAAATGACTTTTTAGGCTATTGATTATGTCTTAAAGAGCAGGGTACTAAGGAACTACAACGTTGATGGGTTTTTATTGCAAGAATCGTTTAAATAGTTATTCAGAAAGAAAAAACCGCAGAGTGCTATTAAATTAGAGGGTGGAAATTGGAGATAGGGGTGAAAATGCAACCCTTACGGTTTTTTGAGTAAATTTGAGGGTATTGCATAGGAAAAATTTTGTAGATAATGAGATTTTCTATCGAAATAGCTTATTTAAAATATTTATTTACTGCAAAATATATTAAAAACAATTTAACAAAGAAATGCAAAAAATTCAATTTTTTGTTTTTATTACTTTTATCCAAATAACTTTTTTCTGAACAGAGATAAGTATAGGCATTGCTTCATAGAAAAAAAAGTATATAAAATTTCCTTCAAAACAAGAGTCAAACTTAGTCAATTTTTCGATTTTCGTCGCTTTTACCCTTATATACGTTTTAATTCTCATTTTTTGCAAAAAAGGAGGGAAATTAAGACGTTCAAGGCTATTAAATTAGAGAGTTGAAATTGAAGTTAGCGGTGAAAATACACTTTTGCAGTTATTTAAATATAGCACGAAAACGAAGCAAAATTTCAATATAGTTCCTAGGAAAAATTTTTTAGAGAATTGAATTTTTCATCGAAATGGCTTATTTCAAAAATGTAAAAAAAAATATGCAAAAAAATCGTTAATAAACAATTTCAAAGAAAGCAAAAAAGAAGATTTTTTGATTGTTTTTACTTTTTTAATAAAATAATTTAGTAAAAACTTGAGAATGTAAGTACAATAAAGTTTATTAATAATGTATATACAGTGTGTCCACGGATGGAGTTGACAAGAGGAGAAACTCTTTTGTTTTTGACTTTATCGAAAAATGTCACTCCTTATAAAAAGTTCTGCCCTTCGAAAAAATCAGACTGTCATACAAACATCTTAGATTAGATATACAGGCTGCTCAAAAATTAAAAAAAAAACACGAAAATACTCAAGAGAGAAGTACCATTATTTATTATTTTACACAACATTCTTATAAAAGAAATCTGTTTATAACCTCAAATAATGTCCTAATACAAATTTTAAAATAAAAATTTCAATTCTGACTTACTCTATATGTATAGCTACTTTCCACCTCAAATATTAGGATTTTGATTTTAAAATTTGTATTAGGACATTATTTGAGGTTATAAACAGATTTGTTCTATAAAAATGTTGTGTAAAATAATAAATAATAGTACCTCGCTCTTGAGTATTTTCGTGTTTTTTTAATTTATGAGCACCCGGTAGATCTAATTTAAGATATTTGTATGGCAGTGTCGTTTTTTCGGAGGGCAGAACTTTTATAAAGATTGACATTTTTTGATATAGTCAAAAACAAAAGAGCTTCTCCTCTTGTCAACTCCATCCGTGGACACACTGTATATACATTATCAATAAACTTTGTTGTACTTACATTCTCAAGTTTTTACTAAATTATTTTATTTAAAAAGTATGCTATGTCGAAGGGAAATTCAAATCTCAAAATAATTTTTCCTATTAACTATAGCGAAATTTTGCTTCGTTTTCGAGCTACAATTAAAAAACTGAAAGGGGTGCATTTTCACCCCTATCTCCAATTTCCACCCTCTAATTTAATAGCACTCCGCGGTTTTTTCATATAAATAACCATTTGAACGATTCATGCAATAAAAACCCATCAACATTGTAGTTCCATACCATATGACATCAATCAAAGCCTATTTTTGCTTTGATCGACAATAACTCAAATCGACGAATCAGGTTCCTGAACCGCGTAAATTGAAGGGAATTAAATTATCTAAAAAAGCTTTACGGTACCTACAAAAGTGTATTGAAGTCCTTTTTAGAGACAAGAAAAAATTTGAAAAATTTTTTTTTCGTTGGTTGATTACTCAAAAACCGCTGTAGCTAAAAAATTTTAAATTCTAGATTCGAAAACTAAAAACTTGAAGCTTCAGTTTTATTTTTTTTTATTCTCCCTACGACCATTTCCGTCCAAGTTACATCTCTTTGAAAATCACCTAAAAATTTGAGATTTTTTTAAATATTCCTTATAGTGGGTTCCTGTATTTCCGTTGTTAAAATTCGTACCTCCACAGAGACACAAAACTAGTTAATATAATCATACAGTAACGTATTGAAGTGAATTTTACATTGTCCAGAGTTCGTACAACCGATTTGCCTCCCAACAACTAACGAAGTATTATCGAGAAGCCTCGTAAATGAGTTCGTGGTGCTATCGGGATGGGGCTCGGTGGATGGACGAAACCCCCTGGAAGGTTCCAAACATTTGATGTATATCATCGTTCCTGTGACAGACTTTAAGACATGCAAACGTACTTTTCCGGATATAACAGAAGGCCGTCAGATCTGCATGGGACAATCGAGGAAAGGTGAGTAAAAGTTGTCCAACTGTGCATCTTTTAGTAGTTTTTTTACGTTTCTTAGGACGCAACGCCTGTAACGGCGATTCTGGGGGCTCCGCAGCTAAGGCCGTGAAAGTGAATGGAGTTCATAGAATGTACCTGTTTGGGGTGGCTTCGTACGTCCAAGCAAACTGCCAAGGGGGTGCCGTATACACAAACGTCCCGTACTATATGGACTTTATTCTGAACGGAATTGAAAAAAGTTGATTCTGATCTACCTTCCCAAAAAGATCCAACCCCACGGACCGAGTCTTATAAAAAATGTTTCGGATCAAAGTTGTAGAATATCAAGAAAACTCCACCGAAAGTTTTAATATCAAGCAAAGATCAACTTGAAAATATTAAAGGAATATTTTATCTTTGTATCAGCAATCCATAGAACGTCAAATCTGTCATCCGGATATGGGGCCACAAAATCTTCCCACTATGTCCTTGAAGGTCGTTTGGAGGTTAAACTCACAATTTGTACGATTTTGAATTACTAATTTATGATCATGATCTTATATTTGACTCAACAGCCGGATCCTATCATCAAATTTTATTTATTAATCTAGGAGTGTGTTAAATTTCAAAATTATTGTCAAGATCATACTGAACACATACAGATAATAAATTCTAATACTTTTGTATACATTCTTTTTGTAGAAAAACGGATTTGACCTTCAAATAAGCCACAAAGGTATTCTAGAAAAATTCTTTAATCGCAGATTCCGATATAAAATTTGCCGCTGTTTCGTTTGTCGACATGAAAAATAGCGTTTTCGATTTAATTGTCTAGATTATTTTAACCTTACAACTTGTACTGAAGGTCAAATGCAAGGTCACCAGAATGCGGGTTTTTTGATATCTACAATTTTTATCTGAAACTGTTTTAATAAGACGGAATCCTGAAAAGTTTTCAGGGGACTAGGATCCTTTTGAGACACATTGTATGTATCAAACTTTGAAATAAATTTAAACAAACATAATAAACTGTTATATTATTTAATTTTCGCTTATCCCATACCACCTGAATGAACCTGATTGCGTTAAAATTAGTTGTTTCTTAACTATCACAAGCTGCGCATCTAAAAGTATCTTGTGCTTAAGTATTAGCTGAAACTCCAAAAAACATAATTATAGAAATAAATAAACATTCCTCAACTTCATTAATTTAAATTGCATGTTCATGAATTTAACAAATATTTGCAAATAAAGTATTTCTTTGAAAACACCTTATTTTCATCTGTATTAATAATAATGTAAGATGGGCTTTTTCGGGCTACCACACGGAAAAAGCTTTCCCGATCTCCGATTCTTGTTCATGAGGTTACGCAAAAATATACAAGGTGTCCCATTAAAAAAAATAAGTTAAGATGGTTTAAAGTTGCCTAAATTCGGCATAAAATTTCTACCACCCTGTATGAAATTGAATCATTTTGAAATTTATATTATTAATGATCCTTATTAAACATAAAAAACAGCACATTACATTCACTTTATTAATAAAAAAGGCATTTAATTTTTGAATCCAGATGTTTATATTTGCAGTATAATTCACTTAGTATTACTAAAATAGAAGGAAAGTAAGTTTTTGTAGAAAACCGACGTCTGTGGCAATATATTAATGATTTAAAAAAAATCATAACTGCAATCAAGTAGGCTTAGGCTTGTAATGTCACAATCGTCTTCGTTATACGTCACGTTTATTGATTTTCTGTAGCTTCTAATTGTTTACAATTAAATCATGGCAGTGAACAACCAAAAAAATAATGTAAAACCTTATAGTACATGTAATTCTTGCACCAAAATAGGGGACATTCTTATGTCTCATAAAAAATTTAAAGTATTTGCCATATTTACTGAAAAAAACTGGAATCAGTCCGCATCAGGAAAACCTTTTCGCAGCTATTCAAAAGTTTTTGGAGGAAGATATCCCATCTTTTTTACGTAAAACCAGGGCTCAGCAGAAGAAAATTTCATGAAATTATTACATATATTTTATGAAACACAGACATCTGATGGAAATGAAAAATAAAGGTAATAATTATGCTCCTCGTTACTCTCCGTTACGAAGAGAAGAGTGCCAGACAGAATTTCAAAAACATTTAGCGTTAATAGAAGAAATCTCGGAACAAATATTTGGTAAATAATTACTTGTATGTATTTATTATTTTACAATAAATAAAAACATAGCTGTCAAAAAAAAAATTCCACTTATTAATTTTGTTTGCCTAGCTTGGCAGGAGGAAAAAAAATTCCGAAAAATTTGAAGGTTGCGATGGGCAACTGTCGAAATTACACTATGTACTGCACTGGTTTAAAATGACAGGTGTAAAGTTTTCGCTGTAACTTTAGTATTATAAAATACACATCTTTTTGAATTAGGCAGTTTTTTAATTTTTTTTTTTTTTGAAAAAAATTAGATATATCCAAAACGGTTAACTTTAATAATAGGAAGCCTTAGTGAAAGTTAACCTAAAAATTGACGTAGAATAGCAATAATATACAGGGTGTTCCATTTAATGTAAAGAAGATGACGTCAACTTCCGGTATAACTGTAAGTGTTAGGTGGATACCATTATTTTAGTTGGTAGAGCATGCCCGATTTTTTATATTCTAGATAATTTTGCTGAAAAAAAACTTATTTTTTCGGTGAATTTAACATATAACAGAATTGTACCAACTTTGAACCAAAAAATTATTCTTCTTTTGCCGATGCATAATAACAATAATCACGAATTAATAAAAATGATATAGATGTACTGTGAATGTTGACAAAGTGCTGCGACTGCAGAACAAATCTATCTGATTCGTTATGCTGCAAAATTTGTAACACTCGGCGATTTATAACCTCATTTTGGACGTAACGAAGATCGCAGTAAGCTTTTATGTATTATCAGTACTAAGTAAAAAATTTTGAAATTAGTAAAGGATTGTTCAACCCATACATATCCTCAGCAAAGGCTCCATACTCTGCGACAACAAAATTATCTTTTACGTAAAGACATTAAGACTTTATTAGTTTTTTTAAGAAACAAAAGCGAACAATTTTGCAAATGTTTCCATCCCCCTAAGCTCCCCATTCGAGCCACTGGTTGATCCTCCTCAACACCCACTCCGTGAAGTAAGTAACATCCGTATAAACTGCGGCAAATTCTTGATGCGCGTGACACAGCAGCAGGTTGTGCGATGCTACGCCTACAATGTAAGCTCTTTTATCTGCTCCCGCGTATCTAACTAGTGGACCACCAGAGTCCACCACACACGGATCATCAACTGGAAAAAAATGCTCTAGATAAGGATCATGCGCTATCTCCTCCATAAATCGAATCAAGTTCACATACCCTCTTCATCATACGATACGCAAAGCTCACTTTCTTGCAGATGACGCTTGTAGATAACATCGCAAACCCTAGGATCCAATACGAAGGAAAATGTGTCCTTCAAATTTATAAATGACGAAAAATTGCTTCCGTGGACCGTGCCCCACCCAGAGTACACCACGCTCCATCCTGCCACGATCGTGATCTCATACATTAGTTCGTGATGGGACACGGGTTCTCGAGGGAAACAAATGGGCCTTACGAAGTCTGAAAAATTAGGAAGAGGTACCAGAATTTCGACTAAAACTTGGATTAATAGTCCACGGGCCCACGTACAAAAAAATAAATGATTACCAGCAAGTTGTAACTTTGCGTGCAGCTTAAGTTTGACGAGTCTCCCAAGATTTTACTATTAGGAAAATTCTACAGTGGTAAGTTTTCCCGTGATTTTCAGGAAAACATGTCAATCTGGCATAGACATGGAATGTTATCACCAGCACTTTTTTTTAAGTTTAAATGAAAGATATATTTTTTTAAACCCCCCAAAAAATTTGTCCGAATGTTGGTATTTTGAGTTTGTTCGCCACCCCAAATATGTCGATTTGGTGACATTATGGTTGGTGACAACCAGCAAGCTGATTTTTCTGGGAGAGTTTGGTAAAAAGATTTGAAATTAGTCATATTTATTTTGAAATTTGAGAAGTTTAAACAAATTTTATTTTATTCATATATTTTTTTTTATTAAATATAAATTTTTCTTCTACATCATGTGTAAGTATTGAAACCGCAACATTTTATCGTTTAATTTTGTCGAGCGAGCAAGAAAAAACCGATCATTTTGCCGGACAATTAAATTCTCATATTAATATTGCATTTTTTAAATAATGACGCTTTTGTCCGACAGCTGGTTATCACCAACCATGTTGTCGTTAAATCGACATCTTCGGAGCGTCGGACTGCAAAAACTTCTCAAGGATTTTGTCGGACAATAAGATACTTTCATATCAAATCTTTTTACCAAACCCTCCCAGAAATATCAGCTTGCTGGTTGTCACCAACCATAATGTCACCAAATCGACATATTTGGGGTGGGGGACAAACTGAAAATACCCAACATTTTTGTCGGACAAATTTTTTGGGGGATTTAAAAAATATATCTTTCATTTAAACTTAAAAAAAAGTGCTGGTCATAACATTCTATGTCTATGCCAGATTGACATGTTTCCCTGAAAATCACGGGAAAACTTACCACTGTTGAATTTTCCTCGTAGTCAAATCTTGGGATACTCGTCAAACTTAAGCTGCACGCAAAGTTGCAGCTTGTTGGTAATCATTTTTCTTTTTGTACCTAGGCCCGTGGACTATAAAGTATAGTTTTTATGATGATGATCGCAAGTTGAATTGTAATGTCTGACTTGATTGAGGAAACGTTAATTTCGAGTATCAATTACCGTTAAATTTAGCTGATTCCTCCAGGACCAGTATACTGAGATCGTTAGTATTGGTCAAACGGCAATGCTGAGCGAATATGTGCTTCTTTATTTTTATGTCTTGAGGAGGTGGAGCACAGATCCCCCGATAGCAGTCGATGTCGCTGATTATGTTTGTTTCTCCCAGCCTCACACTGAAAAAGAGATTTCAGAGGTACATTTTTAAGAAAAATGACAAATTGTTATCGATTCTATTTTCGGGGACTCACAGTTTGCTGTGTTTCCCGCAGTGCGCAGCCGTAATGACGTAATCCACGTGAATTAGTGATCCGGTGCAGTAGAAGAACAGATCGTTGGTGTTTTCGTCGTGTAGTCCTATTCTGGCAAGCCAGGGGAATTCCCCTATGCTGGCGAGGTTGTTGGATTTGTCCTTACTGTTGTAGTAATTCGTATTGCTGTATATCGTCGTGCCGCAATCTGTTGGCAGGTCCTCCCAATTCATATGTTTGTATTTCAAACCTTAGAATGAGAAAAAAGTGTATTTATTAGGTTAGTAATTAGTTGCGCCATCTGTTAATGATAAGCTCAACTAAAAACTCATACCACTATCCTTTTATTTATTAATAATAACAACGTCCATTAGACCGATCAAAATAACTCATTTAGAGGGAAAAAAAGAGAAAATTGTTACCTGGACTTTTATAAGTGGAAATGGTAAAGGGGTTTATTTAAACGAAAAAAAAAAAAAAATAAATGCGTGAACCGGGGCGGCGGAGGGTTGATTTGGGGGGTTGAAAAGTTATGAAAAATTGTATCACTGGGATTTCTGGCGAAAATTGACATCAAACAAAAAAAGTATCTAATACAAAAGTTGTAGATCATGCAAAAATCTGCATCTTTTGTAGTGGTAATTTTTTAACATAACCTCAAAATTTCCTAGAAAAATGCGAAAAACAGGTTTTTTCTTGATTTTTCGTTTTTTATTTCTCATTTCCCCAAAAATAATTTAATTTTGACGAAACATGGTGAAAGTATACCTTTCTCTGTTTTAAATAACCTCAAATTTTTTTAGATAAAAAAATCAAAAGTTTCTGAGATATGCATTTTTTCGGCCTAAAACACTTTTTTTTAAAGAAAAATTCTACTTATAAAAATTATCGTACAGAGTTCTGCCGGTAATCATTTTTTCGTTTTAACATATAGTTTTTGATGAAATAAAAAAAATCTGTAATCACAGTTCAAAAACATGCTCAAAAATAAAAAAAAATCAAAAATGACTTGCAGCAATGCAATTTCAGTAATTGTTGATAGTTAATTTGTTTAAATTTTAAAAAAATCAAAAACTAATTACACCATTCAATTGTACGGAAAAAATACAAAAAAAATTGTCTCATTGTCACTATTTTTGTACAGTATTGCTATAAACATAAATCGAATAGGTAGTGAATAAATAAAATAAACATTTTTTTTCCTTAGGATCGATTAGTTTACTTTTTTAAATTTTGATGAATTCATAGATATACAGTGTGTCCCAGATAAGGATGGGATAGGATTAGGATCTAGGAAACGGTAAGAGATACGGGGTGGCTCAGATTAGAAAAAAGATGTGTTTTTACGAATTTTAAAATAAATTACATATTTACAATGCCACTTTTTTCGCTCTATACAATGGCGTCAACATTTCTGTAATCCGACGTTTCGTCTTCGAGGGGCCATCATCGGGTTAATTTTTTTTAAATACGTCGCTGCTATTTTTATGACAAAATCTAAAGTATTTTTTAATTCTCAATTAGATGATATTACTAATTGTAATCGCTTAAAAAGTTTTTAGCTTGTTTTAGCTATAATTTAAAATTTTTCCTGAGTACGGCTCTGAACGCTTTCAAAATATCTATTGGATGAAGTCATAACAGTATAAAAGGCAATACCGCACAAAATATCCAAAAATTTTTTTTCTACTATTAGCAATACTAATTAGAAATAATAAAACATATCATAAATTCGTATTATGTTTTTATTAGATACAACTTTTTAAATTATGGATTAAAAAAATGGTTGGATATTTTGTGCTGTATTGAGTAATCGTTCCCTATTTCTTCTACTGATATTTTCGGGGGAACAGGCAGGGATCATTAAACTTAACCCTATATTTTTTTACATGTTTCACAAATTACGAATTTCGCAATCTGTCTGTAATATCTCTAGATATTGTTTTGTGGTGATATCCTTCGAGAACTTTTAGGAATCGTTCGTATAATTTGTGTTTACTTGAAGAATTGTACAGTACACGAATAAAATAATAATACAATAAAATGGATGTGCCTAATATAGTATTAAAATATTCTTCCCAGTTAGCCTTCATTTTCTCTCTAGTTTGTGGTTGTAGAAGTTCTTTTTGGTTAGGACTTACTGAATTTAACTTCGGTGTTTTATTAATTTCCATTTTCTTTCCTTTTTTGACTGCACGTGACAAACAAATAACAATAACTCTAAATAAAATAGCACTTTTATTTCATGACTAGCTCATTACTAGTTTTCATTTTGCCGCTTATTTGCTGCTTTCTGATTGGTCGGTACATTTGACGATATTGTTCCTCGTTTTTCACTTTAATAGCTCAATCCCTTTATGTCGAGAATACAGTATGAATTTTGTGATAGAACAGTAGTAGAGCGAAATTTGGGAACCACTGGGAGAATTCTATTCTCTCACCGTCAAGAATCGAGCTCCAGGTATTTTTAAAGCGTTTAGAGCCGTACTCAGGAAAAATTTTTAATGATAGCTTTAAGGGATTACAATAGTAATATCATCTAATACAGAATTAAAAATGACTAGATTTTGTCATAAAAATAGCAGCAATATATTTAAAAAAATTAATCTGATGATGGCCCGTCGAAGACGAAACGTCGGATTGCAAAACTGTTGACGCCATTGGATAGAGCGAAAAAAGTGGCAATGTAAATATGTATGGAATTTATTTAAAATTCGTTTTCAAATAAAACCAGAAAAAAAAAATAAAACGATTTTGCAAAATTTCGGGTTTTCATCAGATTTCGCGTCAACAGTAGACTTTGCAGTTAATACTTTATATTGCTGAAATCTCAAATCATCGAGAGATAATTTATCATATGTGCATTTGTAATTCGACTTAGATGTTTATAGCAATACTGTACAAAAATAAAGTTTTGGGCCAAACAATGAGACACAGTTTTTTTTATTTTTTCCGTAGAATTGAATGGTGTAATCAGTTTTTGAATATTTTCTAATTTAAACAAATTATTAACAATAACTGAAAAATTCATTGTTGGAAGTCATTTTTAATTTTTTTTTCGTGACTTGACTTCTTGATTTTTTATCTAAAAAAATTTGAGGTTATTTAACACAGAGAAAGGTATACTTTCACCAAGTTTCGTTAAAATTAAATTATCTTTGCGGAAATGAGAAATAAAAAACGAAAAATCAGAAAAAGAACTTTTTCGCATTTTTCTCGGAAATTTTGAGGTTATGTTAAAAAATTACTACTACAAAAAAGTTGTAGATTTTTGCCTGATCTACAACTTTTGTAGTGGATACTTTTTTGTTTGACGTCAACTTTCACCAGAAATCCCAATAATACAATTTTTCATAACTTTTCAATCCCCCAAATCAACCCTCCGCCGCCCCTGCTCACGCATTTATTTTTTTTAGGTTTATTATAAGCCCTTTTACCATTTCCACTTATAAAAGTCCAGGTAATTTTTTTTTCTCCAAATGTAATAATTTGATTGGACTACATAGTGAATCACAAATTTGATGTCAGTGGCGTACAATTTGAATAGAAATTTTTAAAACCAAATAAAAAAAATTATGTAGGTTACTAGCGAAATAATTTGTACAGTTCTGATTAATTTTCATATACAAAAGTATTCAGTGACAGTACATGCTTTTTGATGTAAAGGCCTTACTCCTACAATTGCATATAAAACTCTGCTTCGTAAATATTTAATCACATATTTAGACAAAAATGTATTTTAGCACAATTTTCATAAAAAAATCTCTACAAACGGGTTGACAGAATTAATTCAAATTTAGTTTCCAACTGTTTAAGAGCTTACCATTTACGGAGAAAAATATCATTGGCAAAATACATATTGCAAAGTAACTCATAATTTGTTATTCAAAATCAGCTCAGGAAACTGTTTCAGTGGGAGAAATACTCATAAAAAATATAAATCACAACCCTCAAAAAATTCCTGTTAAAATATTGGCTAATCAACATTTTTAATTTTTACAGTTAATGAACTGTACAGTGTACAGTAGTAAAAGTAAAAGTGGAGAATTTATAAACAGGGTGCTCTAGTAAAATATTTAACATTCATTCGTTTAGTATAATGCTGACGTGATGGAGTATTTCTGATGTCTCCATCGTCTTCAGCGGGTCAAAATACAGGGAGATCGTACACATGCTGTGCTAAGTATAAAGAATATATATAAAATTTTTATGGGAAAAAAATTACTTTTTGACATTCTAGAAGAATCGTAAAAAATATAATAAACTTTCCAATAAATTTACAGCCATATAACAAGTGGGTAAATAATTCAATTTACTTTACGGTTTATGACATGTCGTTATTTCTTTCCAATTAGAAAACTGAATTGTTGACAAGATTAGTCGTGCTTTATACAACATGAATTATCTAGAATTATATATCTTGGCTGCCTTTTTTGTCACCACTTATGGTAAGGCCATTTCCAGCACATTTTTTTTTCAAATCAGGATTAATAATTCCTATGACTAAATTTTCCTGTTTTATTATATTGTCACATGTAGCGCTTTCTCTCGTTCATTTGAAGATTTATTTTCTAACGAAATAAATTTGTCTAGAGCAATAATAATTGTTCAGTAATGATGTACAGTTTGTTGTTTACTGGACGCTTCGGGTACAACTCAATGCTGATCGGGGCATTAGACAACAGAGTAGTTGTTATATCATGAGTTATAAATTCTTGTATTTTAACGACATTCGATCCCCAAACTCGATTCATGCTAAGGATATCAGTCTAGATTATGCTTCAGTTTTGAAGCCTGCAAGAGTGCTAAAAAAATACGACGAAAGGTACACAAAGAGAAAGCTAAAGTAACAATGGAAAATAAATTAAAAAACATTATAAAATAGAATTTAAAGCAAAACGGAATCTTTCCAAAAAAGGAAAAGTGCAAAATTCTGGATAGAAGCGTCATAACTCGAGCCAAGACCAGGATGGAGTTTGTAATCACGCTATGCATATTCTTCAGCAGCATTTAACTTCTCGTTAATAAACAATTTGAAAAAAAGCAAAAAATTCGATTTTCTGATTTTTTTTACTTCTTTACCTCTAGTTTTTTTTTGAGTAAATATAATTATAGGCATTGTTTCATAGAAAAAAAAAAAGTAGATAAAATTTCCTTCAAAACAAGAGGTTGTAAAGTATTTTTGGATGAAAATTGACTGATATATGGCCTCTCAAACTTAAGCAATTTTTCGATTTTCGTTGCGTTTGCCCTTATACGTTTTAATTCTCATTTTTTGCAAGATTTTCTGATTTTTTTTTTACTTTTTTAATAAAATAATTTAGTAAAAACTTGAGAATTTAAGTACAATAAAGTTTATTAATGTATATACAGTGTGTCCACGGATGGAGTGGACAATAATAATAATAATACTTTATTTTCCTTAAAGACACTAATACATTTATAGGAATGGTCAAGATTTACAAATTAAGACAGAGTAGGCAAAAATGCCGAAATAGTATAATAACATGTTTCCATTAAAAATTGCTTTAGAGCGCCCTTAAATAAATATACACTTTGCATTGATTTAAGTTCCTTAGGTAGTTTATTATATATTTTAAGGCCCAAGCAGTCGGGAGAGTTAGCTGTTATTTTTATTCGAGCAAATGGCAAATGAAAATCCATATTTTGTCGCGTACAAGAGGAGAAACTCTTTTGTTTTTGACTTTATCGAAAAATGTCACTTTTATTTTACATTTACAACATTTTACAACATTTGTATAGAATAAATCTCTTTAAAATCTCAAGTAATGTCCTAATACAAATTTTAAAATCAAAATTTTAATTTTTTTGGTGGGAAGTAGCTATACATATAGAGTGAAAGAAGAGAATTGAAATTTTGATTTTAAAATTTGTACCTATTAGGACATTATTTGAGGTAATAAACAGAACAGAACTTTTTATAGAGAGTGACATTTTTCAATAAAGTCAGTTTCTGTGTGTGTTCTTGTCAATTCCATCCGTGGACACACTGTATATACATTATTAATAAACTTTATTGTACTTACATTCTCAGGTTTTTACTAAATTATTTTATTAAAAAAGTAAAAAAATCAAAAAATTTTATTTTTTGCTTTCTTTAAAATTGTTTATTAACGATTTTTTGCATAAAATTTTCCTTTTACATTTTTTAAATAAGCCATTTCGATGAGAAATTCAATTCTGTACAACATTTTTCCTATGAACTATAGCAAAATTTTGCTTCGTTTTCGAGTTACAATTAGAAAACTGAAAGGGGTGCATTTTCACCCCTATCTCCAATTTCCACCCTCTAATTCAATAGCACTTCGCGGTTTTTTCATCTAAAATGACCATTTGAACGATTCATTCAATAAAATATCTTGAACGTCATAGTTCCTTTGAAAATCCTATATTCAATAGCCTATTTTAGCGTTTCGACTAATTCCTTGCTATTTTAAGGCAACTTTTTGGACGTTTCTGTTTGGGAAGATAATCCGGAAGAATGCGGTCGGACGAGGTTCGAGAACACCACCTTGGATGTTGCCGATTACAGCAAAGCCCGAGTTGGTCAGTTTCCCTGGGTGGCTATGATAGGATCTATCCATCCTGATAACCAAATATTGTTCTTCTGCGGAGGATCTCTTATCAGCAAAAGTTACGTGATCTCTGAGGCGCAATGCGGAAGATTGGGCCAGCTGTAAGTATGAGACGCAAGAGGTGTTACGGTATATCGGTTATTATTAAATATAGAGAGAAACGACCATTTTTCACTGAGATACAGCCTTTCGAAAATCACCAAAAAAATCATGAAAATTCTTTGTTCTTTTAATTTTTTCCAGTAGTTATAATTGAAATAAAGAAACCTTCAAACAACAATTAGTATTTCTGTTGAAATTAAAATTGGAGTTCACTGCCAAAACTACCACAAGGGGATTTCTTTGTGGATATCGTTTTATTATCAAACTACTGTCACCATAGTAGAAGAGCATTGTCGTTCAATCCGATAATAATATTCTCATGAAGAGATTCTTCTGCTAACCTACTTTGTTGCTTTTCCAACCACCAATTATTAAAATTCAGCGGATACGAAATAAATAATAATATTCATATTTGCCGCCACTGAGTAAACAAAATACGAATTTTTTCCATGTCATTGCCGCTTGTCTAATGCTTTGTTTCAGAGTGAGGTTAGGGTCGATCAAAGCAGAAGACACGGAAGAGGAGAAAGATTGCGACGAGTGCGGCGAGTGCGCTTTGCCCCCTCAAGACATTAAAGTCAGGAAGCAGATATTCGGAAACGACTGTTCCTTGAATAGTGTTCAGAGAATCATAATTCTGGAGTTGGAGAAACCAGCAGAATACAACGGTAATGGAAACGATGCATAAAGCTTACAATGAATATATTTTGATTTTTATAATTCAGTCTAGAATTCGGTATTTTGATTCCTCTTTGAACCTTTGACCGTTTTCTGATGATGATTCAATTGAATGTGCCACTATGCCAGTAATCAGACCTTGTTCATAACTTTTGAACCACTGAATTTATCGAAAAACTAATTCCCGTAACTTCATCTGAAGATTTTAGCAAACCAAACCGCATCCTTCTAGATCAATAAATAAAAAAGTTATGAACTGTTTAGTTTAAAATATTGACATGGTATATGTGGGGTGATATTTACAGACATTATTTCTTTATTTATTTGTTATTTCGTTCTCAGACTTTGTACGACCGATCTGTATTCCGACGGACGCGTTTTGCCACACCTCGAGAATAAGGCAGCGTGCATTGACGCCAGGATTCGGGCATATATTTTCAACTTTAGTAGGAGTAACCGAAAGGAAAGAAAAATTTGACGACATGAGGTACGTCAATTCCGCCATAGTCACCCAGGAAGAGTGTAATGCAATATATCCGGACCTCCTGAAGGATGGCGAGTTCTGCGTGGACTATCCGAAAGGAGGTAGACGAAATACCTTATAATTTTTTTTTATAATTGTTACAGTGTTTCACCTTCCTCCGAAGCGCTGCTAACTGTGTTGCGGAAAAGTCTCCAAATATCATTAAAACAAAAGGAATAACTTCACTTGAATATTTGTCATTTGAAACTTAAGCAAAAAAGCACGAGTTTCCATATTAGAAATTCTTAACTTAATCTGGAGTGCCACAAGGCTCTCTCCTGGGGCCTTTACTTTTTAGTATATGTACTGCGGACTTTGTGTCGTCAGTAGTGCACACTACTTTGCACATGTGTGCAGATGAGTTACAAATTTTGTACAGCTTCGAAATTACAAAAATACAAACTACTGTTGATCTTATTAATTCTGACTTGCATCGGATTAAGGAGTTATGCGATAAAAATGCTGTAATGCTTAACCCAAATAAATGTAAAAACCTGGTTATCGGTACTTATCAAAAAACTAGTCAGTTGGGGGATTTTGCTGTTTATATTGACAATTGTTCTTTGGAAAACTGTAGTTCAGTAAAGAATCTGGGTATTGTATTTGAAAATGACCAGAAATTCTCATAACATGTTAGTGAATTATGTAAAAAGGCGTTCATCTCTTTAAGCAAATAGCGCCTTTAAAACGATATTTGAGCTCTGACAATAAATTAGTATTGGTCGAATCCTTAGTTTTGTCTCATCTAAATTACTGTGATTATGTTTATGGTCCTTTACTTAAAGATGATGATAAATTTAAACTGCTAAAAATTCAAAATTGGTGCATGCGCTTTGTCACATATATACCCTTTCTTCACCATGTTACTCCTTTTATTAGACAGTTGGTAAATTAAGACTCAGTGAAAGACGCTATGTTCATTTTTGTGTTTTTGTAAATAATGTACTGCGTAATACAACTCCTGACTATCTTTATGAGAAGTTGGTTTGGCGACATGATGTACATGATCGTCAGCTTTGTAAGTTACATGATTTGCAAATAATGCGTCATCGAACTGAGTATTTTAGATGTTCATTTACCTATTTATGGGCTATGGTTTTAATTAATGTACTGGTGCCTCAGGACTTAACACTCCGTAATGCACCTCTGATTAAGAAATGCTTTCGTGAGTTGGTCATGGAAAATGATTACTCCACAAATGCTGCTGTTTTTTAGTTTTTGACTTGTTTTTGAGTGTGTGTCTGACTATACTACGTATTTGTATGTGTATTGCACAAGCATGTACGAATGTTGTGTATGTATATTTATAAGTTATATTGTTTTTTACACTGTTTTAATAACACTATAAAATCATATTGCTTTTAATATAAGTTAATTGACTTTCTGAGTGGTAGGCTTATATGTGTCTAGTCATTTTGTGTATATTGCCATTGCACAATAAGTATTTTTTACCTTTTTACCTTTAAACTAAAGTAAAACTGATGATTACCTAATAGTGAACGCCCAAATATGGATCAAAACTGATTTTTCTCTAAATTTTCATTCAATTTCATACCCAACTTTTCTCCGAAATTCATCGGCAAGCATGAATTTTGGACGCAGATCGTGATCAGCGCATCGAATTCCTTCGGAAATGATATTGTGGTTCTCTTGGGTTTGGGCTTTTTTTTGTGTGGCTGTGTTATCAATAAATGTTAACAATTTTGATTATTATTAATTCTAAGCACTTCAACGGTGTTTCCAAGTGTTTCCAACAGGATTGCTAAACTATTTCTATTGATCCTAGCCGATTTACCTGGCAAAAACCACGGAAAATCGTCAAATTTAAATACCTGTCTACCATAATAAAGCTTTAATTAGAAGAAAGAAGATAAGAATCCGCCCAAATAACTCTCTATAGAATCAAGTCATATCAAAAAAAGTTCCAGATAAAAGTTGTAGGATATCAAGAGATCAAAATACTTGGAGAACTTGTATGACTGAATTTTTTTATCAGTCCGCAAACTATGGAAGAATAAACCACAATCATATTCAAAGAAAAATCTATAAAAAGAACCGCATTTACCAACAGTTTATTTATGATTTAAAGAATCCTCTCTAACTTTGTAAGTTATCATACAGTGTATGTGTATAATTTCAGTACAACGCTATGCGCGTTCCACACGCTGCTTATGCACAGTAATTGCAGATGCTGTTCTACTTTACATGCTCCGTTAACTGTTAGAGGTTGCTCATTAATTAGTCTACTAACTAACATATAATTTTAGGGAAGAGTGTTTGTGTTTAAAATCACCTATGTCTCAATCATTAGTTATTTATTAAATATACAGAGTGTGTATTAAGTACTTGTTAAGTTTTTGAAAAAATAGTGAAAAGAAGTCACTTTACAAATGGACTATCACCAAGTTAGTAAAAATTCGCAAAAAGCGTGCACCAAATATATGGAATATCTACTAATATAATATGTGTAACAATAAAAATTTGATATTTTCAAAAAACCAGTACCTTCCTCTAACAAGCAGTATTTTTCTCTCAGCGTATGTCTTAACTGAAATACTGTTATGTACCTACTTGTGTATTTGTTTTGTTGTTTGCCTTCTTATAACTCTAGAATTTTTCCAGTTAACCATAGTTGCGTGGGAGACACCGGAGGACCATTGGTGGAATACCTAAAAGTGAAGGGGGTGGCACGGGCATTTTTGATAGGCGTTGCGAAAATAAATCCCTTGATCTGTGAGGCCGAAGATACGGCTCCTATTGTGTACTCTTCCGTTTGTAACTACTCGGAGTGGATTTCAAACCAAATTGTATCTTCGATAGAAGCAGAGCGGAAGCAGGGAAGACGCTTATTCGCTGTCTGACGTGTTTTTTTTTTTTGTAAAATGAACGGTTAGGGAAATACATACATATATCTTCATTTGTTCGTTTATTATTATACCTACAAGTTCTGCTGAGCAGAGAGAATGTTCTGGTAATAAGTGGATTTGAGTTTGTGGGTCGTCTTGACTGAATGTTGAAGTAGAGAGCGATACATCTCACGAAACGTCGAATACGAATGACGTGTCAACCAAAACAGCGGAGGCTAGCCTTCGCTGCTCAGGCCGGCTTAGCCTCCGATGTATTTTTGGTGACTTACAAATAGACGCAAAACGACCAAATACGTATTTGTCTTCATTTCAGCAAAGGTCCATTTTTGATTTGTCTTAACACGCTTCTAATAACGTTAAACATCAAACTTGTTTGTTTTCAATATCGTTGGTATTTTCAAAATTTTATATTTTACGCAAACTTACACTAAAAATAATAAGTAAGTAGGTAAAATATATATGTTTGGAATGCATTTTTAACGCTCTTTCCGTTTTTGAATTAAAATACCGGGTGTTCCATATAAAATCATGTGATCATATCACATAAACTAAAAATAGTGTCTCATGTAATTTTATGCCATCGAATGTATCTTAAATAAGTGCCTCTAGGATGTTCAAACCGTTTTGAGATATCTTTAAACGTGAAAAGGGCACCAGTCGGTTTAGCCAAAAATCGATAAACGCCCAGTAGCTCACAAATGGTAATTGATAGAGAGATCCGGTTTGCACCAATTTTTACTCGAAAAATGAACTCTGGACTCGTCTATCTGTGACTGATTCGCAGTAGAACTTGAAAACCGACCGATCTGAATCACCCTGTACAGTGTATTCTTGTGCTTTTATTTTCAAGTTTCTGAGTGACATTATGAAAAAGCCTAAATACATATTAGTAACGAATTATTGATATGATCAGCACCTACTTTTTATCAGGAGAAAATAACATTGCTGCAAGAGGATATCAGATGTGTACTTATTCGGAAAATTAATTTCGTTACAATTTACATTTTTTATTTTAACTCGTATAAATCTAAGAACAAACAAATTTAAATTTATTGTTTTATGTTATGTTACCTTCCATTGTTGCTTTTTATTATATTCCGACACTGATGGGAATTTAATTTTAAATTAATTTGCAAAAATATTTAGAGGCTGTGTGGGTTAATTCATATTACATATATTATAAATATAACTTCAAAAAAAAAACAAGTCTTCAAACGCATAGTATCATCACAGCAAACATGTATTATTACTTTATATTCATTTTATGCGCATATTTCCTCAGGGGTACCGTACTGGGTAAAACTATTTTTTTTTTAAAATCTGCCTTATTTCCGATGATAAATATTAACATTTTGTTATCATTGTAGGCAATTCAGACGATACAGAAACCTGGAAGAATGAAGAGAACTGCGGTACAACGATGTACGACAACGACAACGGTAGCGTGGAACTAGGAACAGAAGAAAAATACATTGGTAAGCCCGGGCTAGCCCCATGGATAGCTAGGCTTGGGGTGGTCAACGTCGACACCCAAGAACCATTCTTCCACTGTGAAGGGTCTCTGATTAGCAGGCAAATTGTGATATCATCGGCTCACTGCGGTACTGCTAACCAAGTGTAAATGATAATTCCACCATTAATTATTGTAAGTAACACGAATTTAAATGTATCTTTTTAGGGCGAGGTTAGGAGAGAACAACATAGACGAAAACGTTGATTGCAAATTATCTGTATGTCCTCCACCCCCTCAGGATATCAAGATACGGACTCAGGTTGCCGATAAGCGATGCAACAAGACCAACAGATATGATATATTAGTAATAGGTCTGGAAGCACCAGTGGAGTACAATGGTAATTCATTTTGACATCAGCACTGTAGATTGTCGAATTATACTGTAAAAAATGTAATTTAAGACCTGATTCTACTCGCGAAATTATGGTGTACAAAGTAAATCAAATTCATTTGAGCCTAGATACTCCAATCGAATTAGATCATAAAACCTGGAGACGTTAAAAAATTATTAATAGATATTTTATTGCACTTTATGACGAGGGGTATGTAAAATGACGCAAAGTTGGCAAATTGAAAATAAGCGGCTTTACGTATTTTTCACTTTTTTTACTCCCCACGATAATCTAGAAGATCTATCGAAATATTAGTTATTTTATGTTGTAGACAATTAAATTACCTACAATTTAAGGCATCTAAAGTCAATAAAGGTTGAACGCGGAAAGATCAGTTTTCTAAAAATGCACATTATTGCAAAAAGCGATGGATCTAGATGAATTTTACGGAAAAGACGGTCAATCCAATGACCAACCTTTGTGCCAAACGCCGAATCGACTGACCGCGAAATTGTTGCTCCGGGTATTTGTTAATTACACAGCCACACAAAAAAAGAAAAGTAGTCTGTACTTTTCATGCGACATATGTTATCAGCAGTACTTTTACATCCTAATCACGAATCAGGTGTCAGAATTGAGCTATCATATCACAGGAATTTCCTAACCTCAAAAGACATGTCAAAAATAGCGAAAATTCACGAAAAAGTGTTAGGAAAATTAGAAAAATTGTTTTTTTCTGTATTCAAATATTCATTTATATAGTTAAGACATCGCCGAACGTGAATTAGCGGTCAGAATTGATGGTTCTTTTTCTAACCTCAAAAAAATTGGTCAATTAAGGTCAGATATCACGAATTTTCAAAAAATAACAAATTCGCGCCAAATTTGGTATACGGGGGTTTTCGGCGTCGCTGATCATGGATCCGAGGTCAATTTTGCAAAATTCAAGATAGCGGATCCAAGATGGCTGACCAAATTTTAAAAAAATAACAGATTCGCATCATATTTGGTATAAAGGGGTTTTCGGGGCCGCTGATCACGAATTCGAGGCCAGTTTTGCAAAATTCAAGATGGCGGCCGATCAAATTTTCAAAAAATAACACATTCGCGCCAAATTTGGTATACGGGGATTTTCGAGGTCACTGATCACGAATACGAGATCAGATTTACAAAATTCAACCCGTGAATAGATCTTTTACAGAAAAAAGGACAAGATATAGCCGAAAAAAAGTAGATTAACACATGATTGGGTACTCAGGTTATAAAGTAAAATGTTACAAAATGAGTTTCGCAATTCTGACCTCGAATACGTAATCAGCGACCCCGAAAACCCCCGTATACCAAATTTGCTGCGATTCTGTTATTATTTGAAAATATAGTCGATCATTTTGAATCCGCCATCTTGAATTTTGCAAAATTGACCTCGGATCCGTGATCAGCGACCCAGAAAACTCCGTATACCAAATTTGGCGCGAATCTATTATTGGTTAAAAATTCATGATATCTGACTTTAATTGACCCGTTTTTTTGAGGTTAGAAAAAGAACCATTAATGCTGACTGCGGATTCACGTTGGGCGGGGTCTTAACTATATAAATGAACATTTGAATATAGAAACAAAAATGTTTGTATTTTTCCTAGCACTGTTTCATGAATTTTTGCTATTTCTTACCTGTTTTTTGAGGTTAGCAAATTCCTGTGATGTATTAGCTCAATTCTGACACCGGATTCGTGATCAGGAGGCAATAATACTACGGATAACATAAATATGTCGCATGAAAAGTACATACTACTTTTCTTTTTTTGTGTGGCTGTGTTTATTAATTTCGTTCGATTTTTTTGCAACCAATTGTTTAATTACTAAACGTTAATTTTAAAAGTTAATATCGTAGATATAGGTTCTGTTTGATTCAAAAAACGTATCGAAAAAAAAAATGTTTGTTCCCGAGATAACTGTTTTATAGTGTTAATTGTGAATTAACTATTGGACATCGCGGATCGGGATTTTAGAGAAAATTAAAGAAAGAGTTAAACTTTTATTTACAGGAAGTTTTACATTGATGGTTCATGTAATAAATGCGCCAGCAGCAGTAAAAGTTGACGTTAATGAACGTGGGAGAAGGAGCGCCGCGCCGGCCCCGCCACTCCGTCGCGCGCGAGGTTTTTGTCTTAAACGTTTCAAATTCTTTAATTGTCTCTAAAATCCCGGTCCGGTACGTCCAATAGTTAATTAACGACTAACGTTATAAAAAAGCTATCTTGGGAACAAAGAGGGGGAGGTATTTTTTCACGTTCGAACTCTAATTCGACTGGAAGGGTGCGCAGTGGCAAAATAGTAGGTGAGTTCATTCTACATGAAGCGCCATATTTTGTTGATTTGTTCATTTGAGGACGAAATGATTGATACTTTTTCAGATTTTGTTCGACCCATTTGTGTTCCTGAAGCAGCAATGCCAATGAAGGGGCGTATGATTGTACCTGGATTCAGTGTGCCACATACGGAAACTAGGGACGACCAACAGAATGTATTTGTATCTGAAAGAGAGTTAACGTACGTCGAGGCTCGAATTTTAGATAAACAAGAATGCGACGCAATATACGCCCAGGAGTTGGATGAGGGCCAGCTATGCGTGGGGTATTCGAAAGGAGGTAGGCAACTGTTTCAAAATTATCGGCTACAATCAAATTTTGTTAAAGTTAATGTCGACGTGTGACCTTTTTTCAGTTAAGGAGCCCTGCGCAGGATCTCCAGGGGGCCCGTTGATCGCGTACGAAAAGGAGAAGGGGGTGAAGCGGGCATATCTGATGGGCGTCGCTTCTTACGATCTACAGACGTGCGAATTGGGCGGAATTCGTCCAGTTCCTTACTCTATCCTCGGGATTCTTGGTGGAATATATCTTGCAATTGAAGCAATTAAAAGTTTGTTTTAAAAATGAACATAAAAACCGAATCGAAAGATGTTATATTCCTTTAATGATGGTAATGAATAAAGGATAAAGTAGAAGCTCGTCTCTTTTCTCCGTTACACAAATGCTTTTGTATAAATATTTTTATTGTTAATGTTGTAGCATCTAGTTTTGAAGTCAACAATTTACGCATTGGTACTTTATCAAAGGCACATGTAAAATCCAAATAAATTATATTCAAAGGTTCTATGTATGGTGT